CTTGACCTCTCGGTGGCCTTCGATACCATCGACCATGGTATCCTTTTGGGTCGGCTGCAGGAGTTGGAGCTGGGTGGCACAGTTCTGTGCTAGTTCAGCTCCTTTCTCCAAGGCCGAACCCAGTCAGTGGTTGATAGGGAGCGAGAGGTCCAACCCATGGCCCCTACTTTGTGGGGTGCCTCAGAGTTTGGTGCTCTCACCACTCCTGTTTAACATCTACATGAAACTGTTGGGTGAGATCCTCGGGCACCATGGGATGAGGTATCATCAGTATGCTGATGATACTTAAATTATATATCTCCATCCTGGGTGACCTAAGTGATGCTGTGGCTACCCTTTTGCGGTGCCTGGAGGCTATAGGGGCCTAGATGGGGGACAACAGGCTTTAACTGAACCCTGGTAAGGAGTGGCTGTGGGTATGGGGAGCCTCAAGATCTAGGAGTTTATCAACTTTGGTATTTGACGGGGTCACACTACCCCAGATAGACCTGGTGCGTAATCTGGGGGTCCTCCTGGACTCATGACTCCTGTTCAAAGAGTAGGTGGCAGTCGTGGCTAGGAGGGCCTTTGCGCAACTTCATGTTGTGCGTTAGTTATGCCCCTTCCTCATTCAGGAGGCCCTCTGCACAGTCACTCATGCCCTGGTCACCTCCCGGTTGGATTACTGCAATGTGCTCTACATGGGGCTACCCTTGAAGAGTATCTGGAAGCTGCAGCTAGCACAGAATGCAGGGGCATGGACAGTTCTGAATGCCCCCGGGGCGCCATATAACACCACTGTTATGCAAGCTGCATTGTTTGCCGGTTTGCTTCCAGGTCCAATTCAAGGTTATCACCTTTAAAGCCCTTCATGGCACAGGACCAGGTTACCTGAGGAGCCATCTCGCCCCCGTTATATCTGCCTGCCCCACTCGGTCGAGCAGAAGGAGCATGTTGCAGACTCCACCAGTCAAGGAATTTCGACTGGTGGGATCTAGGAAGAGGCCTTTTCTGCTGTGGCCCCTGCTCTGTGGAACAACCTACCTCCTGAGGTGCGGTGTGCCCCCACTCTCATGGCCTTCAGGAAGAGCATGAAATCCTGGCTATGCCAGATGGCCTGGGGCCCGCATGGGGGCTCGCACCAGTGGAAGTGACTTGTGGGGTAACTGATGTTACTCCCCCGTCATCTTGAATGTTTTTTAGTTTTTATGTATAGGGCTTGTTCTGTAGTCTGACTTTTTAATTAATTAATTAATTTTAATTAATGAATCGTGGTATTTATTTTTTAATTGTTTGTGGCTTTTACTTTTATTGTGAGCCACCCAGAGTCACCCACTGGGGGAGATGGGCAGCATACAAATTTAATAAATAAATAAACAAATAAAATAAATAAATAAATAAACACTATATATTTGCCCCACACACTTATTGCTAACGGACATGCAAATATTTACACATATTCAGAAAATAATACCTCATATGAGACTTAACATCCAGTAGTTCTAAAGAAGTCACCCTGGGTTCTCCAGCCAGGTTCTGTAAAATCTTCAGCCGGGGGCCACAGTGTTTATAGAACTCAGTGCATATATTCAGCAGGGACTCACGGGGTCGCCGAAACTCTTCCCTAGCAATGCGTTCATCCAACTCCTCCCGTTGGATGCCTTGGCCTTCCTCTAGCAAATGAAGATTTTCTCTGAAGATTACAAAATGGGAAAAATGCAGAATGTGGAAATCAAGAGACAAGAATGGGCTGATATGTGAAAACACTGTCACGAACCCTGCCTTTTGATGGGGTGTACCTTTGCAGGGAAATCATAGCGTGATACTTCTCCCGTGAGAGAAGCAGCCAGGGAGGGCAGAAATTGTTACTTAAGGCGCCTTTGGCTGTTTTCTCCTGGTATGGAATCTCTGGTATAAAATCATTCAAAATAAAGCCCAGTTTGGAGCAGGGGGTGGGAAAGGCTGTACTGAAGGAGTTCATAACAAATTCTAGGGAAAGAGGCTGGCAGCAACATTCCAGTACCTGATAAAATGCAGTTTGGCTCCTTGCTCTGGGTATCTAGGATTTGGAACACAAAGACAAGGACAGAGAGTTTCAGAAACCATCAGGTGAGGTACACTTTGCTCTAGATCAAATACAATACATGCAGGAGCAATAGGGGGGTGACAGGATGCTTTCTTCCTCAAGTCCACCTTCCTGACACACTTGTTCTGCATACGAAGCAACTTCCTCTTGCACAAGAGTCATATTTGGATGTGGTGTTGTATGTGCGTGAAATCCGATGTACAACCCCCTGGCTAAAACGCTGGTTTCAACATTTCTTTGAGATAGCAATAGCCCTGTTCAGGCCTATACACGTTGGACTTTATACACACAAAGCTCGATTTAGCATTGTATTTACCTATATATATATATATATATATATATATA